ACAGATTTGTAAGGGTGAAAATGATGCCTGATGAAAGGCCAGTAACATCTTAAGAGTGAGTGTACACAATCTGAGGAATGTACGTTAGGCAAATCCCTGGAAGATAGTTTCTGCACTAGGCTCATACAGCTGATACCAAAATAAGGTTCAGACATTAGTTTAGAAAAACACTGAATATACACTGAAGTGACAGTATCATCCCAACAACCACTGTACAACATACTTCCTCAACTGGGAAGGTAACAGATGATTGCAAGTAGAAGCTTCAAAGAACAAATAAATGAAAAAGAAAAATACCAATAAGAGGGAGAGTATGAAGAAATAGGAGATAGGCTGCTGTCACACAGAAAAATGGCAATTTTCTCAAGCAAGGCTCTGTATGACTGAGATGTCGACATTTAAGCTTCTTTCTACCCAGGCCAGGTGACTGGTGTACTATATGCTTTAGTGTTGTTACATTGTCTCACTGGTCACCTATATACTCTCAATACAGTAAATAAATCCAAAGGACAGAAAAGGCTCAGAAGGGGGGAGGAATGAATGCTGTAGTTTTGCATTGTGTTTTTCTGTATGAATGAGTAATAGTGTTACACAAAGAACCCCTACAAAGAAAGAGCTGAGGTAATTGCCTCATGACATTGATTTCAGCACACAAAGAGAACTACATGGCAGTAATTCAAGCAGTTTAAAAGACTGAAAAAGCTACAGGCACTAAAAGGACCACAGACTGCTATCAACTTAGCAAACTGAAATTTTCCAATCCACAGCAGAAATTAGTATACACAGCACTATACAAGTTTTAGATTGAATGAGATCTTCTATTTTCGGGACTGGGAAGGGGTGGCTCAGTGGTAGAGCGCTTGCCTTGCATGCTTGAGGCCCTGGGTTCGATTCCTCAGCACCACATAAGCAAAAAGAAAAAAGCCAGAAGTGGCATTGTGGCTCAAGTGGTAGAGTGCTAGGCTTGAGCTGAAGAGCTGAGGGACAGCGCCCAGGCCCAGAGTTCAGGCCCCACGACCGGACTCCTCCCCCCGCAAAAAAGAGACAAATTCTCTTGCATGCTAGGACTTTTCCACAATTTCCAAATTATGATACTATGAATGAAGGCAGAATTTGTGATGTATTTTACTCCTTAATCCTTTTTGTTAAATCCCTCCAAAAGTCATTCTAACTATTCCTCAGTTCAGTAAATGAAACAGGTCTGTGTTGAGCACCTTGCAATAAGGGAGAGATACTGACTGGCCAGTGCATTCTCTGAGTTATCCCAGAGTGAGGTTCACACAAGCCAGCATGTGCAGAGTAAGGGCCTTGACCTGAAACGTATTCTGTGATATGTATAGGGTGACCTCTCAGCATATAAAAAGAGATGAGGAAAATATTGTGAAATGTTACATTAATTTTCCTCTGTAAATGTAGCAAATCTTTCTTAGGCCATTTTTATACTAGCCAGATGTTACTTTTTTAAACTACCAATAACAACCAATAATGTCGATTCTCTTCCATCTCTCCATCCCTTGAATGCAACAGCCTCAGTATTCTTCTTAAGTTGAGGGTTCTGAGTTATCAGTCTTAAACATACACGATATTGCCCATGTAATTGTAACTCCTCTGTATGGTATTCTCACAATTAAAAAAAAACATACACGATAAAGCCTGTCTGACACATCTGAGTTTGATAGTCAAAGCATGCTGGGAGATGCAGATATAGGCTTAAAATGCAATTGGAACAGGTAATAGCTGGTAGAGAGAAGATCTAAATTCTAATGTGAGAACAGCAAATTCTACAATCTAAAATGAAAGGTGTTTACAGAAGCCTGAAGATACAGTTCTTCCCAAATTCCCTCACTGAAGTATTTGTACTAGTCATGTAGAAATTGTTGAATTAGAGCACTGAGATCTAGTCCACATAGAAACTGTGTAAGAAAACTGTTAGGTAAAGTCCCCTCCACACTTCCTCACTGATAGCAAATTCTTCTACTTGACAATACAGATGTCCCTAGTAGCACCTCAAGGTTTCTCAGATACTATTCAGCAATTCCCATAATGGAATATAAAGGGACAGGAAACCAATACTCCGCTCTGTAAAATCCAAGTCTTCACAGAAAAGACTGTACCTTTGTAATCACAAAATTATTAAAATACATAACATGATCAAGAACACATATGTCTATATACATCTTCAAGTCAAGGGATGGAGAAAGACAAAGAGTGTTTAGGAATACAGAGTCCTGCTGGGTGCTGGTGGCTCATGCCTATATTCCTAGCTACTCAGGAAGCTGTGCTCTGAGAATCTTGGTTTGACAGACCAGGCAAGAAGGTCAGTGAGACTCTTATCTGTAATTAACCACCAAAAAGTCCAAAGTGGAGGTATGGTTCAAATAGTAGAGCACTAGCCTTAAGCATAAAAGCTAGGGACAGTGCCCAGGCCCTGAGTTCAAGTCCCAGTAATAGAAGAAGACGAAGGAAGGAAGGAAGGAAGGAAGGAAGGAAGGAAGG